TCTGACATTGCCTGACTTCAAAATAAATTGGACCCTGGCAGGGAAGCTTATTAAGAAGTCTCTTCTTTCCTTTCCTAGCATAGAATTAACAAATTCCTCAGAGGGGACATACTTGATTGCTTCCTTGGAAGGCCTTTATTTCACAATAGTATATTTGTGCACTATTAGGTACTACCTGGCTCACCAAACCCGACAGTAGACAGAACATGGGTGACAGAATGCTTCTCATTTTCCTTCCTGGTTAATTCATGTTTAAATACAGCCCAGCTATTACAGACATAGAAAAACAGCAGTTGTTGACCTGACTACTGAAAGGTTCTGTTTATTAGTGAGTGGAGAACCCTTCAACCTCATCTGGATCATATCTGGGCTGTTCATTATGAGCTTCCTTCAAGAATGATTGGGGTGAGGGGGAGGGGAATCTCTCTCTGTAGAGACTTCTAAATCAGCAAGTAATACTTGGTTGCCTGGATGCTGTCACAAGGCCATTTGGGAATTCTCATGCAGGAGTGGGTTAGCCACACAGAGTTGCCTAAGCAACTGCACGACACTTCAATGATGATGATTAAACTGCTGGATCGCCCACCAAGCCCAGCAGTTTTTCTGTAAATTACCATGCCATTTAAACAACCTTGAGTCAATTTCATCTGTTGGGAAGAAGGAACGGTTTCTCATTGAGACAGAGTAAAAGGTTGAAGTCATCAAGTTCTGAGCATGCGCCAAGAGCAGCTTCCAGTCTCGGCTGCCTGGTCTGATGAGCGTCAACTGTGCAGGTGCAAAAGCAAGATGTCACCTCACAGAATGGTTCATGATTTATTATGAACAGAGAAAATTCACATCACAAACCTATTGATTGTTGCTTCTCAAACGTTGCTGCTTAAGGATACAATCTAAGGTGATAAAGAGAAACCATGATTCCCCAGCAGCAAAAAACATTAGGACAACAGAAAGGTTAACTGGTTGATTGTGGCAAACTAGTACTCCCAGACCCCTTTGCATTGTTGCATAGGCAGCTTGGCTTGCTTTTTGCTGGATAACTGGCAGCTATTATAAAGTAGATGTCAGGTGTCAGGTTCCAAACAGGTAAGTATGAAGCTTGTACCTTTAGTTCTGTGGATATCTCTTTCTTCTTGCACTGTGACCTTGCATGTTCAAGGCATTTATCTGCAAAACTGGATGTGTGATTTTTGCACATGGGAATCAGCATTGGACATCACATGCATGTTAACTGTGGTTGGCTTAATTAGGCTTCACAGTCCAGATCCAAAATGCACATCCAACATTTTGGATATTCATTTTGGATATCCAGTTCCTGCTTCCTGGTTGCACATCCAGCAATGATAATCACAAATCTGATATCCATTTGGAACACTTATCAGTTTGGTAGGGAGAAGGGGGGGGGGGGGGGGGGTATTGTAAATAGAGAATCAAAGATCTGTTCCCCCCCCAGTCTTGTTTTTCCCCACAGCCTCTTCCTCCTCCCTTTCAGATCACTCTGTAATTCTTTCCCTGATTTCATCGCTGTTCCACCCAATCTCTTGAGATTCTGCTTTCTTACTTCTCTTGCCAGTTTCTTGCTTTCCGGAGGTTGCTACTTTTTTTTTTCTTGCTTTCTTCGTCTTTAATCTATGCATCCACATTTTTCCACTTTCTGATAATGTCCGTTTGAGAATATACGCGGTAGTGGAATCCTGTACCATTTAAAACATATGGCTGAATGCTTATTACATTGGCATTGCAATGAAATCTGTCTTTTATGGAGAAAGCTACTTGAAGAAATAATTTTTCTTAAGAATTCTGAAATTATTTTGCATGGAAATGAGAAACATCATGTCCCAGTGCCCAGAAACTTCAAGCAGCCATCCTAAAATGTAAGGGTCTTTGCTCAGCACCAGCCACTATAGGCCAGAAGAAATGAAAGCTTCACGTAGGGGTGTCAAACTAGGATCTTTGAGAGTTGGGTCCAGATCCCTATACAGGGCCAAGCTAGACATGACCTCATCCCTGGGTGCAACCCACGGACACCACTGCCATTTTAAAGACTAATGCTGTGATGCCACCATGTTCTCCCCCACATGCCTTTTCAAGTGCCAAAAAAGCTATGTGGGGACCATTTTGGCACTTGAAATGTTGTGGTGGGGGGGAGAACCTCATCCTGCCACACTGCAGCTGTGTTCATGGGTCAGACCTGGGGATGCTGTTATGTCTGCTTTGGCCTTCAGCCATGCTCATTGGTTGACTTGGTGCAAGTCTCAAACTCTGTCCCCCTAATGTAGCTTACTATATTGACATGAGGGAAAAAATGGATATGGGAAGAATTATGTATGCCACTCTGAGCTCCCTGAATAATGGGGAGATGGCAAAATGGCAACTAGAACCACACCCAATCCTTTGCCAGTGATGGCCAAACCCTCCCCAGCAGCTAATCACTGGCCCCAGAGCTCTAGATAAACTGCTGTCATGATGCCCTGTAACTCATCAGATAGGGCACACAGCAAGGGACTCTGTCCCAGAGTTCCTTGCCGTGTGGACATAGAGTGTGCTGCATTGCGCTTCAGTCACAGGAAAAGTGCAAAGTGGGCACTTAGCTCTAAATGCTCACTTGGTAGTGCTAACCACCTAGGGGGAGAGTAAAGCCCACACTGTGTGGCTAATGCATCTCATTGAAGAACCCCAACAGGTCTTCCTCTTTGGTGGTTTGACTCAAAGGAACAACCATGCACTAGCAGGTAAACAAGGGCTGGAAGCTGGCTGCCCTGCCCCAGCTGTCCACATCCACCTCCCTTGTTCCCCTTGCATGAGGCCAGGAGCTGCCCCCAATGCTGGCTTCCACAGCTGAGGCCAGTGGTGTGTTGGTGTGGGAGCAGCCCATCCCCACCATGGCCCATGTCATGCAATGGAGCTGACTCCCAGGAAAGTGTAACCAGGAGGGCTGCGTCTGTTGGGGTGGCAGGAATACTTGCAGCCCCACACTAGGCTGTTAGCATCCTCCCTTGATAGGATCTCCCCCTGGGCAGGGGTCAGGGCATAACTGTGGGTCAGGAAGCTGCCCCACTGAGAATCAGCTGGCCAAGCAACCCTGGGACTCATTCCCTTGCAGCAGCAGTACTTCAATAATTTGCAGTTGCTGAACACTTCCACCCAGGATGGGTAAGTATCATTTGGATGGCAACAGCATCTGCCTTGGGAGTCTCCTGGCAATCCCCCCACCCCATGTGGGACTGTGGACCCTGCTGGGGCACCACTCACATTGCTGAACCCAGAATGCAATCACTCTCCTTGTCTCTGTTTCTCTTTCTTGCAGGTTGTTATTCAACAGGGAGATCTGGCCCCATTATCATTACTGTCCTTCTCCCTAACTCTGCTCAGTTCCTGATTGAAGGCGGCCATGGAGTCTGCCTCCGGCAGCCTTTCTACCTGGGAGTCTGTCTTGCTCAAAACCTGCTGTACTACAGATGATGCACCCTTTCTCACCATGCCCCCTGGGAGCAGCTCTCACATGCACCAGTGCCATACTGGGCAGGAGGAATTGGCAACTTCCTTCATCAGACCCCTTTATGATTTTCAATTTAATAAAGTCTGGCTTGTTCCTCAACTATGTTCCTGTCTGTTGGTTCATGAGTAGATGAGACTAGCTTCACATACTTTGCTGCCCCACCTATTCTACCCCACCTGTGACTTCCCTTAAAGCTTCCCCTCCAAGAGGGTGGTTAGGTCCCCAGTCCCCTCCCCCACACACATACATTCTTCTGGCTGCCATATGCAGAGTGAGTGGGGAATGGACCGGTGGTTAGTCCAAGATGTGCATGGCTGGTTTGGGAAGGGATGGGTTTCTGGATCCCACACTCTCCCAAAAGCACTGCTGGCATCTGGTAAGCCATGCAGACTGTTAGTGCATGGTCAGAAAGCTGTGGTGGATGTGAGGGCTCTGCTGCATGGGTGCAGCAGAGGGGGAATTGCAGAGCAGCATCCCAGGCAAAATGGTGGATTTCTGGGGTGGCCCATTAGCTAGATGGTCTGTTTCCCTCTTTTGCCTTTTGTGGGGGCAGAAAGTCAGCCCCAGGGATTTTGCCTGCCTCTCACTTCTCCACATTTGGGGACTGGAACAGAAGCTCCAGCCATGCTCTCCTAGTGCCTTTCCACTAAACCACGCCTGTCTGTGCAGTATTCTCAGGCCAGCCCCATATGACTGGTGGTGACTTTAGGGCTGCAGCAGAGTGCCTGATGCCTACTGACATGTCTCCTTAGAGCATCATCCCCTAGTCCTAAGAGAGCTGCTTCCAAGAGCAAGCAGCTGAGGGTTCAGACCTGGCCTTTGCCTTTTTTACTTTTCCAGGGAAGAAGAAGAAGAATAACATTTAAGTGGCATTTAAATGGCATAAAATAAAGAAATTAACTGCAACAAAATTAGGCCCACTGAGAAGCATAACAACATACAAAATAAAAAGGAAACAAACTGGCTATATTGCCTCCTCCCTCGTGCTACAAATTCCATCTCTATTTGTGTGACATTATGCTCTGATTCATGTAAGCTCAGGGGTCATTTCGTAGAAAAGAGGTGCAGGAGCTCATTAGCATAACTCATTAGCATAACTTATTTGCATGTGCCACACCCCCTGACATCACCAGAAGTGTGTCAGAAGGCAACACCCACCGCTCAGGCTCCACTAGACTGTTTTGGATTGCTAGCTATTGGGGGGGGGGGGCGTGCAGATCTTCTCTCACAGAGGAGGGAGAGCTTGTACCTGAATAAAACTTGGTCTTAAAGGTGCCACTGGACTGTTTTGGGCCAGGGGGAGCCCTGCAACTTACCTGGCTGCTTCTTGCTCTGACTGAGGGCTGCTGGGAGCAGGGGGCGGGGCTTGTTGCATGTGCCCTCCCCCTGGGCTCTTTACTGCCAGAGCTCCGCTCCTGTGCGCTCCTGCAGGAAATGACCCCTGTTTGATATTTAGAATTTTCCTTTCATAATTCTCATAACATTTTTTTCTCTTTGTCCTCAGATGTGAGAAAGAATGGCAAGGAAACCGTTGCCACATAAAAGTTAGGCCTCCTTTGACTCTGTCTTCTGGTTCCTTAAAAAATGGTGGGTTCATTTTAAGACTCAATGAAATAACTTCAGGAGATTTAGTAGGCTGTGTTTGTTTGCTTATTTATCTCATTCACTTGCTTGTCTCTGCAGATATTTGGACTGGGCTGAGTGTTGGATTAGCTTTGCTGTTGATTGAAATTGCGGTCGCTGTTTCGTGCATCCTTTCAAAGAGGAAATTGCCAAGAACGTAAGTGAAGCATGTCACTGTGTATGGAAATCAGACCCCAGTATGGAGCAAAATACGGGGAATCTTGCCCATTTTCTTGCTTTTAAATTTTACCTCTGGCTGTTTATTAACAAGAACAACCCAAACATTTTTTGAACTGAGATGACAATAAGTTGTAAGCTGCAATTTAACTGCCTCTGTTCAACATCTGGTTTTGATGGAATTGTAAAGCTCCGCATTCATGCAAATTTAACATTACTCATTAAAACATCCTTAAAAGTTATTTGCATAGAGGAAGTACTTATGGCTTTTTGCAAAAGAGCAAATTAATCTTCTAATTCATGCTAGTTTTCATTGATACGTCTAGTAGCTCAGTGGACTTTCAAGAGGAGACAAGTGTGTGTGTGCGCACACACACATACACACACATTAATGTGCAAAGCAAAATTTAAAAATTAACCTCTTTTGCTCATAAAACTAACTTTCACATGTTAGATTCATGCGTTCCTATTCTTTTATGTGCATAAGGATAAGTGAAGTGTTATATATAATGCTGTAGTAATGCATGCTGGGTTGGGTCCACATGTTGCTGGCCTGCCAGGTAGTCATTATAGCCAGCTTTGTAACTGTCTGTGAGAAGTCCCATAGCTCAGCAGCAGATCACAGGCCTTGTATTCATAAGTGCCCAGGTTCAAAACCTCTAGAAAAAAAGATTAAATGGCAGGGCTAGACGATCAGATCAGACCTTTGCTGCCATTTAGAGCAGATATTACTGGCCTTGAGGAGCCAATGGTCTCATTCAGTATAGCATCTAATTCGACATGGGTCTAAACTGTGGTTAGCACTTTGTTTGGGTGGTTTGTTCATTGGTATACTATATTCTATCATTTATTTTTGCAGCTGCTTTGAGATCTTTCAGGGTGAGAGACAGGATAGAAATATTCTATATTTCATACCTACATACACACGTATATAAAATAGCTTTGTATATTTATGCCTGTTTGAAGAAGGTATGATTAATACTGGCTAAGGTATGATTATCTGCTCAGAAAGGCAAATGCCACAGTTCTATGGATCAAGTTCTCTCAGTGACTCAAATTCTCCTTTTGAACCCCTTCTCCCTCCCATTTATCCATAGTTGAGTAAGCTTAGGGCTTTCTGTTCAAACCAAATGTGTTTCATCCTTTGACAGATAAGCACAAGACCCTTTTTTATAACAATAACACTACATCCTACTTATGTATAAGAAGTAGGAAGAGGTCTTGTTTCAATGGTGGAGGTGGTGATTGGCCATCCATTCTTTTTATATAGAACAAACACTACTGTACAAAAACAGCACATATAGAACAAAGTTTGAGTCCAATGCAACAATACCAAGGCATCTCTGTCTTCAGCTTATTTCATTATGGTATAGTGGTTAAGTGTGTGGATTCTAATCTGGGACAACCAGGTTTGATTCCCCACTCCTCCACTTGCACCTGCTGAAGTGACCTTGGGTCAGTCACAAGCTCTGGCACAGCTGTCCTTGAAAAAGAGCAGATTGTGTCAGAGTTCTCTCAGCCTCACCCACCTCACAGGGGGTCTGTTGTGGGGAGGGGAAGGGAAAGGAGTTTGTAAGCCGCTCTGAGACTCCAAGTGAAGGGCGGGGGATAAATCCAATCTCCTCCTCCTCCTCTTCCTCCACCATGGGTTGGGGCGGGGCTATGTAATAGCTTTCTTTAAACTCTGTTTCCTATCAAGGGATCTCACAAGGGATCCAAGTGACCCAGGAAACTTGCTATGAAGGCCCTTTGACCACCATGTCAAAATTTAAATTCTGGGTGACTTGGATTAGCTTTACTAATAGCAGCAAAATTGGTTTCTTTTGAGTTTTCTTCAGTACCCCTGAACAATGTCTAATTCAGCAAAATCTATAACAGAGATCCACAGCAAACCTATGCAGATGGTACTGCTGCAACAGCTTGAGGCAACTGGCTGAAGAACAGAGAACTGATGTGCACCCAGGAGTAGAAACTGACCTTGGAAAATCAACTTGAAGGATTAGTGCCAGAAGCCAAATACATACAAAAGGGTTATGTCCATTCTCTGGTTCTACTTTAAGTAATTTGCTGTTGAGAAAGTCCATTAATGTAAAAAAAGAAAGAAAAGAAACTCCTTTAGTCTACAACTATTACACCTCATGGACAAAAAGGGGCCAGTGCAATAACATTCATACCTGAATATTGGGTCTTACAACAACAAACAACTTTGATGAAGATATTTATGGAAAAGGTGCAAAGCAGAAAAATCAATACCACCTATAAGACTGTGCAGTAGTTTAGAACTGTCCTTGTAGAATTCAGGAATGGAATTCATGCATGAACAACAGCTGAGTGAACCTTAGGTTAAATAAATAAAATTAGAAAAGAAGAAATGAACTGTGTTCAACAGCTTCTTTCCCTTTGAAATATCTGTGTACATGTTCAACCATTCTTGGTATGCAGTGGGTTGCTATCCTCTAAGAGGGTATGAATCCTTATTTGGGGATATTTATTTATCCTGCAATGTTTTCTTTAACAATGAAAACTAAAGCTGCTTATTCAATAAACAATAATGGTATAAAAGTTAGAAATAAACTATCAACATAAAACAGTAAAGCAAAATAATCAACAAAATCTGACCAGAAAAGAGGACAGAAGAACTTCTGTAAATGCAATTTTGCATTCCAAGGGTTAGCCAGACATTCCTTTGTATTGTTGTGTTGCAGTTACTTTACTTTATATTAAACCTACATTGTGTTGTGTCTCCAGAACTTTGTTCTTTTATATATGTTCCATTCCATAAGCAGTCAGTAACAATAGGTTGGATCCAAACAACTTTTCAGATGAACTAGGAGGGGGGACTCATGGGAACCTGCATGAGCAAAAGCCATTTGGGACAGCAGTTGTAGAGAGAATGAGCAGTAGGCAAGATCAAGCCAAAAATCTGTCTTGGACCTTTAGAAGTCTTCTAAAGATGATGGGCCAGTCAGCAATGACAGCATCTGCTCACTCCGGTGCTAGATCACAGAACTCTTGGTACAGTGTTTGTGCTCTAAGAGACACTTTGGAACTTACATCTTGTTGGGAGAAATAAAGTGCATCATTTGTACATTCTGTTCCCTATACTTTTTGAATACCTAGATTTCCTTCCCTGTATTGGGATGTACAGACTGTCCCTGTACCAGCATTTGAGGACCAACTCTGAAAATGTACTGGATGGGGCTGTGCAAATACATTTCTTTAGAATGAAACAAGATTTTAGAAGTAAAGGAAGCTTAACAGGCTTGTGACCCTAGAGTACGTGCTTAGAAGAACCCTATTTTACTTGTTGGAGGAGGAGATGATAAGCTGTATTACAACTAGCCTACCATTTATTTCAAATTTGGTGTAGTGGTGTAGTGGTTAAGTGCGCGGACTCTAATCTGGGAGAACCGGGTTTGATCTTCTTCTTCTTCTTCACAGTGCAAAAATAATTTTGCAACAATGTGCAAGGGTGTTGCTTCCAGCAAACCTGTCTGTGTTGGGCTTTTTGTGTATGATATGTCAAGACTTTACCCACTCATCTGGGAAAGTCCTTTGCATGAGTGGGACTGGCAGGGGATTGGGATGCTGTACTTCAGCAACAGCCAGCCCTGTGGCTTGGCAGAAGGATGTATCATTGCCACAGTGAAAGACAGACATAGGAATAGCTCCATTGCTTCCAGTTAGCACAGTGTGAAATGTTTTGTGAGGAATCCCAAAATGATTAGAACACGAAGGCTTTGCATATTAATTAAGTTAAAGCTCCAGAGGTTTAGAAAACAGGTCTAGGAAATAGCTAGCAGGCAGCATCTGTTTTCCTCTTTCACTGGCGGCTGTCCTCCTTGACTGAATGAGGGTAATGCCCTATAATGACTTTTAGCCGATTGGCATATAGCGAGAGAATATTTATGTCCATCCAGCTTTCATTTTATCTTGAGGTTAAATTAAACTTAAAGGAGCCAAAGCAAAGATATTTTATCAGACTTAACTGTATTGATTCATTTACGCCAATGGCCATGGATCTAATGAGCCAATTTTTTAAAAGCATGTTATGCCTGTCTGATAAATCAATCCAGAGGACCCAGGCCACCCACAGAGGCAAGTTTTTCATAGGCCAGTCTGCAGCGATTAGCTTGCTGCACTGAAGAAAAACAGCCACTTTGCAACACATGCATAAGTCTGTGCATTACCTGGACTCTGCAAATTCACATGTGAACAAATGTATATGTGCCCATTCATAGTAATTCAACCAAATTTAGAAGCTCTGCTTTTTCTATTGGTACCATTTCATGTTTTCTGGCACTGATTTTTCCTATTGGATTGACATAATTTTACTATTATTTTGTATTAATTGCATATGACTGCTGTATCTCATGTAAATGACATAAAACAAATTATTTAGAAAGGTCAGCAACAAAAATGGGTAAAATGAAAACGCTCATAATGACAATAAAAAGGAAAAGAAGTAGAAAAGGGCATATTTGTGTGTCCCTACAGTCACCATGCCCCTGACCTAGATGGCCCAGGCGAGCCCAGTCTTGTCAGATGTCATACACTAAGTAGGGTTGGCCCTGGTTAGGAGTTGGATAGGGGACCACCAAGGGAGTCCAGGGTTGCTACGCAGAGGCAGACAATGGCGAACTACCTCTGTTCATCTTGTCTCTTGCCTTGAAAATACTATGGGGTTGCCATAGGTTGGCTGTGACTTGACAGTACTTTCCACCCCCACAGATGCTGAGACCAATTCCGCAAAAGGAGTTGTCCCACCTCAGTCTCCCGTTTCCCCCAGATGTACTGCTCAATGTCCCACTATTTGTTGTGCGGCCACATTTTGATTTGCCTTTCCTCCCAATTTCCCCCATGTCTTCTTGAGCCTAAGAAAACAAGGATCAAGAAGATGTGGGGGGAATACGGGGGAGATGTGGGTCAAAATGCAGCCACGCAGCAAATAGTGGGAAATTGAGCAGTACATCCGGGGAA